TAATCATAGGTAACTGGAGCAGAGTCTAACTTCCCATGACAGAAGTGGCAGCCACTCTGTCTAGGAGCCCTCAGTAGTCACGTGGGGCAGCTGGGCTTGGACATCTGAGGAGGCTGACTGACTCCACCCTGTTCAGGTCTTCTGTGGGATTGGTGGGTGCAGATGCCAGAGGATCCCACCTCGGGCATTGGGATTTTCCTATTCTAAGATCTAGCATATCTGATTTCCCTTCTTTTCCTTCCAAGGATTTCACAGAGATCAATAAAGTTGGATGCTAGTCCTGATTATTTCTAAGTAATGGTATGACTTTTGACAAGTCACTTAAATCCACGGACCTGAACAACCTCATCTTTGCATCAATTGCTAGAACGAGCTCCACACTACCATTGCTAAGACCAGTGATGCCAAAATCCTAATCATTCTGTAAGTTTCTTTATCAAAGTCATATTGGCTAAGTTTTTAACCTGTCTGGATGATTAGAATCAAAAGAATCTTTTTTCTCATCCTTTGGAGGTGAATGGGCTTCAGGATTTGAACACTATTTAATGCTCAAATTGAATAAAAGAATACTCAATAATGAAATGATAAAAATAGTTTAAAAGGGGATATTCATCTCCAAAGTAAAGACATTCTTTCCACTATCTGCATTTAATTTCTACTTCTCCAATTGGGCCACTCTAGCTTTTAGAACTATATCTTTTGTTTCCTACCCATGTCCTTATACCTCTTCCAGGCGCCTTGGCCAACGTTACTACTTCTAGAAATACCTATAGTTCAGGCTACAGAACTAGGGTTGAATACAAATGATATTCTATAATAAAGAATATTAAAGTCAACCAAGTATTTTAAAATCAATTACTCAAATTTTTCTTATTTATTCAGTCCTAATATGTAAAATTAAAAAAATATATAAATAGAATCAGACACTTAAGAATCTTGACTACTTTCTTCATTTAAAAGAAATGCTGGGGTTTGTTGTCAGCCTTAAACAAATACAACATTTGGAAAATCTCACTCTGATGTAGGATGAGATAAGGCTAAATCAGTAGACTAAGTTATATTCTATATTTAATATCATTACAATTTAATGGGGATGATCAGTTTCATAATGCCAGCCCCAATTGTATATGTTAATGTATTATTATGTGGATTTAAGCATATTTGAGTTATAAAAAAAATCCAAATGGAACTTTCAGAAGGGTGGCTTTCTCTTTCCGTGTGTATAAAGACAACTTACTAGGACCAAATTAAGTACCTACCGTTGCCAGACAGAGTAATACCAGCCTTTGCATCATCATTGTGAGGGAAGAAAGTGCTGCAGTCTGCACCCACCCAGTGTCTGTTACACACACACTTCAGCTCGTTACTGCAAACCTGAAACCCAAAATCAATCCAGAGTAAACACCAGCTCTTTGGTACAGAGGCATGAAAGATAAATGGTGATTTCCAATTACCATATGCTTAGAATTTGATGGTACTGAAAATGTATTGGAATCTTCTTGCTACTACTAATTACTTTATTTCTTACTCTAAATAAATAAATACTAACAATATATTTTCTGACTGAATTTGCCAGAAGACAACAAAGGCAATCATGAATTTTAACAGAGGAATGAATTTATACATCTAAAAAAATCGATAAAATGATTGTTCTGAATTTCATTAATTCAAATTTTATAAGAGGAAGATTTTTTAACTAAGCAGAATTAAAATCATTTGCTAATTGTCCAATACAAAGTTTTCTTTCTTCTAAAGAAAAGGCCTTTACACCAAAATTTTATTGATCTTTTAGGAAGCAAAGGAGATACAGAGAAATCCAACAAAGAAGACGGAGGTCTGATGTTTTGCAGTGGTCTGAGAAGAAAGCTTCACAAAACCAGAACCTTGGCACCTCAACCCAAGCTCCAGAGATTAGCTACCTCAGTGTCATGGAGACTGAGAACTCCCTCAAACAAACATAGAAAAAAAAACCGAAACATAAAATGGCACCAAATTTTTAAAAATTATCAGATAATAGTCTGTCTTCATTTATACAGCCAGGAAACAGAATCTATACCTAAGGTCTATAATTCAAAGCAACTCTGAAAGAAGTAGGAGGTGGGAGAGAATTCAGTTAGGGTTAAGATGGGAGAAGATCTTCAGCAGGCAGGCTCTGACTGGATAGGTTTCTGTCTTTGTCTGACTGAATTTGCCAGAAGACAACAAACATGCCATACATGCACTTCTAAATGCAAGTATAAAATATGGATTAACAAATTGCAGATTTCAAATTAATTCATATTTGCAGATTAACAGATACACAGGAAGGAAAAAAGGCCTGACTGAGTTTCAGTCCCCACTTCACCACTACCTTTTCAACAGACCGTAACCAGGTCAACTGGCTTCTCCAATTACGTTTCCATATCATACAACTGCATCAGTGATACAGTGACAAGAACAGTGATACTGATGTACAATGATCATAAACAACAGAGTTTTAGCTAACACTGTTGAACATTCACTCTGTCACAGGCATTCTTCTAAGTACTACATGTAAGTTAACCAAGATGATGTATAGTACATAGAGACCATCTACTGTATTTCTCCTTTTAATTTTTGTCACATATACAGAGTTGAGTTACCATAAGTTAAAAATACACAAGATATAACCTTTCCGTATTATGCATAATTATTGTAAATGCTTTTGATGCTATGTATCACCTGATTTACTTGTATGTATCATTCATTTACTGATTCCTTAACCAAGTAGTTAATTAACACAACTAATTACGTTTGGTCTCCTTTATATACTCAGAACTTCTAAATGAATAAGATATAGTTATTCATCAGCATAATGATCAAGAAATAATTTAATTATTCTTTTCTCCCATCCCCTCCAAAAGCATTTCTCCATAACATCATCTTAATCATTAAGGAAAGAAGACTTAGCAGATTCCTTTATAGGAGCAGAATCACTTAAAGTATGCCTTCTCTATTCTCGTGTGTTACAAGAATTCCTTTCCTTCGGCGAAGAGTTACAATTAGTAAGACCTCCCTATGGACATTATTGGCTTATCCCTCAGGGACATATGTGGAATGACCAGGATGCAAGGCGTACAATTCCAGGGCAGAGATCTTTGCCTCAACTGTATAGTACAACAAGTTCAAGCAAAGAATCCAGAGTGAGGGTAAAAAGATCATAGCACACGCCAAAAGAAAAAAACCAAGAAGTTTTGTCAGTACAGGAATTCCTAACTGAAAATGAAAAACTGTAATCACTAATAAAGCATGTTAATTTAACCTATAGACTTACTTATATAGTACCTACCTTATCAGATATATAACTGACAGAATAGAATTGGGTCTTTTAAATGCTACCATTCTTTCTATTCATCTGTGAGAAACATTTCCCTCAATTAGTCTGTTTCTATTTCTAGGAGTTATGCTCAGCTAGTACCCACTGAAGTGGCCACAGCAGTTATTTATGGTCTGTTCTAAATGGTAAGCGGCTGGGACCACACCAGCTGTTAAATACCGTGGCCACTGCCCTTGCTTTTTATTCCCTATTTTATCTGGTTACAGTTTGTTAAAAATTTGTCTCCTAGATCACTAGTAGAACACTGGTATTATATTAAATGAGATCAATTTAATCTGATAAGAGAGGAAGATGTAAGAATTTGGTTAGAAAGATAATACTTTTTCTTATTCCCAGGCTTCTACAGACTACACAACAGAAATATTAATGACTATGACACGTGACTGTCTATACCCCAGCCAGAAACATGAACAAGCATGTTTCCCATTATTACAGAAATAAGCAGTTGAAGGTCACAGCTTTTTCTGTGCTATAAAAGAAGTAAAACATTCCCCATGGTTAGGTACTGAATACTTACTCCATTTCCTGAACAAACAGTGCCTTCTTTATTGCTTAAGCAAGTACTGAAGTTGAAGGAAGCCACGGGAAGACATCTGTGTTCTAAGCACATCATTTGGGGACCACAGGGTGTTCCATCTTCCACATAGCCAAGGTCTACATCTTCTTCGAGCTTAACATGCCCACCACTAAAAATAAATTGAGAGCAAAAAGAAAATGGGATTCCACTGATTCACATTCATCTTGAGAAGACGCTTAAAAATTTAAAAATGGGCAATATCACTTTCTCTATTTTCTATTTATTATCTAATTTTAAAAAAAGCAGTATAAGCATTTTCAACCTTTAAATGAAGAAAGCAATTGAATCTTTTGATCTAATTCTTTTCAGAAATATTGACATAGTTTAGGATTTAAACACAATTATTATAACAAGGGCACAAAGTGAAATTCTTGCCTTGGCTATCATATACAAGTCAAGTAAACCATTATTACTAGCATTTGATTTGATAAATAAGTAGGTTTCAAGATTTCAAACATGTTTCAAATAAGGATGAGAATTTTGGGTTTTGGTTTACATTTCACAAAAAGATTGCTCTATTTACAAATTATCGTTGACCCTTGAACAGTGTAGGGTTAGGGGCTCTGAGCCTCTACGGATCCGAAAATCCATGGATTCAACCGATGGCGAATTGTGTAGTACTACAGTAGGTACTTATTGAAAAAAATGCACTTATAAGTGGACCCTCACAGTTCAAACCGGTGGTGTTCAAGGATCTACAGTATATTTGAGAATGGCTGAAACACTGTAACTTAACTATTCAATACAGCAAGCCCACATATTATGTAGGAATAAAAAATAAACAGGGTAGAAATTGAACATGTATATTCATAATCTATTTATTTATATGGTACCATATCAATGCTACTACCAAAATCTCCATTCTATTTGTTTATGTATTTATTTTTATCAAAATTATACATGCATATAGTTTTAAGAGTTAAAAAGATAAATTGGTTTTTTAAATGCTGTAAAGCAATCCATTGACTTCTACTCCTCAATATATTCCTCCCTGGAGAAAACCCCTTCCAACTCTTAATTGACTCTTTTATTATTTATGTACATATCTTTAAATAATGAGTTTGTACTATTATTTTTTACTTTTCCATTTTAGGTATTATCAATTGACTTCTGTCTATTGAATTTGAGAATTTATCTCTTTCTCCTATCCTCCCATCATATATTTTGTTTAATCAATAGGTAAACCAATAACAAATATGCACATTATTATGACTATGTAAATGTTACTTACTTGAGTGATATGATATGCCATAATTAAATCCTTCCTTTTCCTTGTATGACTTGTTTTCCCTCATATTAGCAAGTCTCATTTGTTGTTTCTTTGCCTACTTTCCTAAGAATTTACCACTCACTCAAAATTAGTCCAACTCTGCTGACTGTCAAAATCTCTATCAAGATGTGTTTAAACATCTAGTTCAACTTCCTGTAGAAATCTCTCCTGGAGTTTCCCCTATCTGATCTGTTGGTCCCCTGTATCTGGTGCAGAGCTGGACATCTTGGATTTCCCCTCACCATTCACTGGAGGATTGCCCTGTCTCTCTCCATGGTGGGTATCTTGTTTCCTAAATGCCCTGTGTTTCTTTCTTAGTTTCCTTCTTCATTTCCCTAGAGCACAATTTCTAAGAGCTTCCTTCCTGAGAAAGGGCATAGAGGAGTAAACTATGGGAGGAAACTTGCATATCTAAATATATCTTTATTTTCTACCCCCACACTTGTTTGATATTTCACCTGAGTACAGAATTCTAGTTTGGAAATCATTTTCTCCATTGTCTTCTGGCTTCCAGGGCTCCTGTTGATAGATTCTAAATCAGTCCATTCTTTTATCCCCCTCCTCTTTGGAAACAGTCGGGATTCTTTTCTTTGTCCTAAGGTTACGCAATTTCATAATGATATGTTCTGATGTGTCTCTAATTTCCCCCACTGTACCTTGCACTTGGTGAGCCTGGCAATGTGGAAAGTCAAGTCCAAAGGTTCTAGGTACCACTCTTGGAGGCACTCATTGCCGATTTCCTCCCTGCTGTTTTCTTTGTTCTTTATTATTTCTATTCTGACACGGTGACCTTTCCTCTATGTTCCCTTCTTTGCCTCTTTTGCCCTGTTTTTCTGGGAGATGATTTCAATGATTGAGTTTAATTTCTGCCATCATGTTTTTAATTTCCAACATCCTTTTGTTTTTTCCTCTAAATGTTCTTCATTTTTAAAAACAGCACTCTATTCTTGTTTCCTGGTAGAAGTATCTAATCTCCCATGAATGTTGATAGGTAGTTGTCATGTTTTCTGTTTGTTTTTATCTCTCTCCTTTTTTTTTCATGTTAGTCTTTCCTCACATGTCTGATAACCAGCTCATATTTGAGTTGGGGAACCAAACAGGTGATTGGGAATTCTAGGACTTTCTGACTGAATATCAATTGAGGCTAGAGCACTTCTGTAGAACCCTGATATCTATATTGCCTGCTGACCTTCAGTTTGGAAAACTTCTGTATTATTCTCTGCAGACTTTAAAGCTCAAGCCTTCCATGACAGGGTGAACAATCCTCAGTTTAGCTGAGTCAGGGAAGTAATCTGTGGATCTAACTGCTTTCTGAGCACACTTTCACCTCTTGTCTTTATTTTAACTCCTTCCCCAACCCCGAACTCCTTCACTCCCTCTTCCAGAAGTAGATGATGCTACCCATTTTTGAGCCGTTTGGGAACTGACAGTATATATTGGGTTCGTTCTTGGTTGTCCCCATTACTGAAGTAGGAATTCAGCTTTCTTAGTTTTGATAATCATTTGCCACACATCTGCTGGCTTTCCATTTTCCAAAATGTTGTTGCTATTGTTTCCTCTCCCTTTCTTTGCTTCCCTGTGGATATATGACTCCTAAAACAGATCCATTTAGTGGGGTTTTGGGAGGAAGCAAAAGAAGACACATGTATATAATCAACTGATTTTATCTAGAGATCCTCTTTCATTTTCCTTAATAAGAATAAAATGCAAACTAAACTCTGCGAGTTTTTACTGATTAATGAAACATAACTCTAGCCAACATATAATATTCCACATTCAACTAATTCTTATCTTCTTTTCGCCTCTTTTCTGTCAGGATTTAGTCAATCACCTTCGATGGACTAGAGTCTGTTTTATTTACTAACATATGTCTAAACTGAAAACAGAAAGAATCAAAGCTGCATTCCTGGGAAATAAGATGACTAATGTTTTCATAGAATGGTTAGATAATTACCTGC